CGGCCTCGCGCCTGCGCACCGAGGGCCACGCGGAGGTGGAGGCGGAGTGGACTCGGACTCCGCCCTCAGCGCGGCCTGTAAGCCAAGCAGGTGGCTTTGCTTCACTCTCTAGGCAGCACCGACGGAGAACGGCGGCACAGACGGTCGAGGCAGAATGAGTGCAGGCTCCGATCCCGTGGTCATCGTCTCAGCGGCGCGGACCGCCATAGGTGAGTGGCTGGCGGGCCCAGCTCGGGGTTCGAGCCGCCTACCCCGAGGGCCAGACCTACAAGATGTGGGAGAAGGGTGAGCAAAGGACCCGGCCAGGACCTTAGGGACCCTAGAGCCCCTGGCCTGGCCCTGCGCGGCGGCCCCGCCCCCTGTTCGCCTTAGGGGACTGCTCCGCCCCTCGTCCTCGGATTGGCTCCCCATGGTAGAGAGAGTGCGTGGCCAGACTCTCTCATTGGCTGGTGTCGGGAGAAACTCTCTGGTGAGGACTCCTGATTGGCCGGCTCTGGACGCGCCATCTGTCGGACTACGGTCTCTGGCCCGAGGTCCGTCTGGTCCTAAGACTTAGGGTTATCCTTCATCTCCTTTAGTACCATAGTTTTCAAATCCTTGGCCCTCTAGAGCACCCGCTGCTTTCGTTTGGAAATGATGGGGCCGCATGAATCGGCCCCTTGGCCTTTCCAAATGGCGCCCATCCCGCCGGCCCCGGCACGCGTGGTAGCTTCTTCAGTGTCCTCAAGATTCTTCATGTGTCTGTTGTAGGTTCCTTCAATGGTGCTTTATCTACTGTGCCTGTCCACGACCTGGGCTCAGCTGTCATCAAAGAAGTCCTGAAAAGGGCCACACTAGCCCCCGAAGACGTGTCCGAGGTCGTATTTGGACATGTTTTGTCAGCAGGTAACTCCTCAGTGACCCAGGAGAGCTCAGGTTTATTAGGAACAGACCTCTCTCTCTCTCTCTCTCTCTCTCTCTCTCTCTCTCTCCCTCCCCCTCTCTCTCCCCCCCATCCCAATTCCTGTACCTCTTACCAGCTCTCAGTAATATCATCCAGGGTAGGACTCGGCTGTGTTAAGTGTTTTTCGAGATTGATCCCATACCATTGTTTAGAAACAAGGCCGCCTTGATGCACCGGATTGTGTGCATGGTCCCCCATATTCCCCTAAAATGTCATACATTTTATGGAAATATATTGAAGTTCTCCTATGTGCCCAACACTGTGCAAGGAACTTGTGTAGGGGGTGGCTGAAACACTCCTGGCTGGATTGCTCCTCATTGGCCAGAGACTTAATATTATTCCCTCGGGGAAGATCTAGTCCTGAGAAATTCTCCATTTTTTTATTCCTTTTGAACTTGTAAGCACTGATCCTTGGCTGTTCTTAATTACTTATAACTAGTTTGGGTGTAGCTCAGTGGAGAATGCATGGCCAGTATGTGCATGGCCCACTCCCAGCACCAGAAAAAACCCAAAAAACTCCCAACTAGTTTTGTCCCTGAGAAGCTGGATCCTAACAGCAACATACCTTGAGTATTTTTGTCTTTGTTGCATGATTTCAGACATGTAGGCTGTTTACAGTTTAGAGCTTATTGCAAAATGATGGATTTTCAGAGGGAGTGACAGTGCACCTTCAGGCATGAAGATGGGCAGGTGCCAAGGTGGCAGTCACACTGAGTGAACGCTGAGGTTACACTTACATGATTAAGCAGCGATTTTCAAGGAATATCCTTTCCTTTCTCCAGTGTCTTTGTTCTTTTACAAGAAAATTGGGCTGTGTAGACTAGGAGGTTTTTGTTTACTTTTTGGGTGGACATCTTTCACTTAGTTTGAGGCTTGAGGTTTTTCAACCCCCTCATCCACACTCTGGACTTTGTATTGGCCCTGGATCTTATCCTTTTTACAAGGAAACTGAGCTCTGTGTTGACCTAGGTCTTTGTTTACTCTTTAGGTGGATTTGTTTTTGTTTTGAGACCCTGAGGTTTTTTCCCAAGCCCTTACCCATGGTATGGACATTATACATTGGTTGGGCCTTGGACCTTATCATCAGGCTCAGAGATTATATTCTTTTTTTTTGAGACAGATCTTGCTCAATAGTTCAGGCTATCCTTGAGCTTACTTTGTAGCCCTGGCTGGCTTTGAACTCTCTCAGCAGTCCTCCTGCCTCAGCCTCCCAAGTGCGGCACCACCACATGCTTTGAGAGATTATAGTCTCTTGAGCAAAAGTTTGAAACCACAAGTTTATGTAGATTTTATCTACAGCTAATGATCAAGAAAGTGAAGGAAGAGGGAAAAACATCTATCTTCCTTTCTTTTTGGGGGGCGTCTTTTGAGACAAGGTCTCCCTATGTAGTTCAGGCTGATCTTAAACTTACCATGTAGCCCAGATTGGCCTTAAAACAGTGATCCTCCTGCCTCAGCCTACTGAGTGCTGGGATTTTAGGTATGCACCACCACAGCTGGCCTTCTTTGCTTTTCAGGTAACCCCAGCTTCATGTCTCCCTGCCTGCTAATGTCTAACTTTCTGCCTAACAGTCATGTTCAATCACTAGCATATACTCTAATTAATTGTACTTATAATTGATAATATTCAAAATCAACTTCTGTCCTTACCTGGTCTGAGACTTGACTAATGTACGGGTGTAACATTCCTTATTAGAAATGCTTGGAGCCAGTCATGGTGGTGCACACCTGTATTCCCAGCAGTTGGGAGGCTAAGGCAAGAAGAGGCCAGACTAAACTGTGTAGTGAGATTCTATCTCAAAAAAAAAAGAAAGAAAGAAAGAAATACTTGGGACCAGAAGTGTTTCACATTTTGAATTTTTGTTATTGTTGTTTTGAGACAAGGTCTTGCTATATCGTTCAGCCTGGCCTTGAACTCACTATAGAGCCTAGGGTGGCATCCTCCTGCCTCAGCCTCCCAAGTGCTGAGATCGAATTGGTTTCTCCCTCTTTTTGTTTGTTTTTCTTTGAGATTTGGGAGTATTTGTATATTCATATATGAGATATATTGAGCTCAGACACAAGTTTGAACGTAGTGTTTATGTTACACCCTAAACATATAACCTGAAGGTAATTTTATACAGTGCATTTTTTTTTTCTGGGGGGAGTTTGTACTGGGTATCAAACTCAGGACCTTGCGCTTGCGAGGCAGGCACAGTGCCACTGAGATAAACCCTCCAGCCCTTATATGGTATTTTTAATAATTTTGTGCATAAAACAATTGTGTATCATAACTAAAGAGCTGAGAAGAGTCTTTTTTTTCCTTAAGAATACTGAATAAATTGTGTCTTACACATCTACATTTTGACTGCAAACTGATATATGATATGTTGGGTTTGGAATTTTCTACCATGGCATGTGGGCACTCAATAAATTTCACATTTGGAGCATTCTTTATTTCAGCTTTTCAGAACAGGGATAGTCAATTTGTATTTTCCTCAAAATTTTGTAATTCTTCCTAATTCCTTTCTTAACTTGTCCTCGTGGACCTTAATGTCTAGTATGAAACCACACTACTTTCTCATGGTTCTCCCAGGCTTTAAAAGAATGCATGTGGCGGCACATGCCTGTGACCCCAACTCCACATTTGGAGGTGGGGGGTATGACCATGATTTCAAGGCCAGCCTGGGCAATGTAGTGAGGCCCTAGCTCAAAATAAAAAAGGCTGCTAGAACACTTGTGATACAAGGTCCTGAGTTCAGTCTCCAGTACTGGGAGAAAAAGAAAAGATGCCTATGGTGAGACTTTGAGATGTCAGGTAACTTATTAAGGTCACAGTCTGAAGTATAGTGAGTGAGTGAACAAAGATCTGTCATCCTCCTTATATGAGGTACCCTCCACAATCATGTAACAAATATTCACTGAGCACTGACTGTGCCAGGCACTATTCTAGTATCTAAGGATAAGCCCTATCTTTATGAGATAGAAATCCTCATTTTTGTGGATCTCATATTCTGCTATTATTTTTAACATCCCCCCATAGATACATCTACCCCCGCTATGCTGGAACCCAGGGCCTTCCCACTGATCTATATCTCCAGCCTTTTGTTTTTTTTTAGCTTTTAGCTGTCTGCCTTTTGAGACAGGGTCTAGCTATGTAGTTCAGACTGGTCTTGAATTTGCAGTGATCCTCTTGCCTCCCACATGCCCCAGCAGCCTTTTTTGAGACAGGGTCTTGCTAAGTTGGCTGAGATGAACTGCAACATGATCCTCCTGCATCAGCCTCAGAGTGGTGGGATTACCGGAGTGTGCCACCATGGCCCGTTTTAATACTCATTTCCTAATCCTAACTACCTTGAGGATTGGGTGTACTAAAAAACTCTACAAAATTTTTAAGAGGAATTATTTACTTGAATGCATATGTAATTTATTGTAGCTTAAAAAGCTGGAATCTTATATAATATTAATGTCTTTATTAACTATTGTCTTATGAGTTCAATTCATGGAATATATTGATACTGTCTTTTTAATCATTTTCCCTGGGTGAATATTCTTTCTGTTTTGTGGTGATAGAGATTGAACCCAGGACCTCAAAAATGCTAGGCAAGCACTCTACCACTGAACTACATTCCCAGCCGCCCAGGGTGTATTTTCAGTTTCAAGCTATTTTATTTGTTTTTAGCCTCCAGCCTAATTTTATTTCATTGATTGATTGATTGATTGATTGGTACTGGGGATTGAACTCAAGACCGAGTTTGCAAGGCAGGTGGCAGAACTACTGAGCTAAATCCCCAGCCCTCCAGCCTAATTTTAAATTAGTATCACTGAGATGTTTATGACCTCTAAATTTTCATCAGGGACATATTTTTGTTTTAAACAAACATACCTGGTAACAGTGTGAGGTACTGGTATATCTGAAACTGGTAGTAGACTGACCGTTGTATAAATATTTACATTTTACTCTGATAGTAGACAGTAGTGACTGAGAGTAGTAGGAATCTTTGGCTTCCTTCCTTTTCTGCTACTTTGAGTGATACATTCTTCCTAACAAAAGGAAATCCCCATAGTTAAATTACAGAAGGGTATTTATTCTAGTTTTGTATGTAACTTAACTATGTGGTGTGATGAATAATAAGGAAGAAAAAAAATTTTTTTTCGGGACCAGGGATCAAAGCAGGACCTTGCACTTGCAAAATAGGCAGGGTGCCACTGAGCTAATCCCTGGCTCAAAAAATGATTTTTTATCAAATTTCTTTAAGTTACTCTTCTCAAGTGTCTTTAGCCCTGGACATGGCTAAGGATCATGGCTTTCATTAGAAATACTGGTATTAACCTAGGTTATGCCTTATGAGCAGTATGTGTGTATGATAATAGTTGGTTGATATCCTTGGTTTTGAATTCTTTTCCTGTTATGAGGAAAAGTCAAGTTCTATCAAAAGATGAAGATCTTATGGTTCTGTTTTAAGGTATTAAGAACTCTATACAGCAAAATGTGTGTATCTCTAAAATACTTAGACAGCAGCACAAGGCAATATACCAGAGCTAGACTGTGATAGGCAGAATGTGTCTGGCCTTTTTGCCTTTGGTGGGAATTAGCCTATAGGCTTCATAAGTGGCAGCTGAGCTAGTTGGCGATTTTACATGTACTCATACTCAAGTATTATACCTTTCTCCTTGATTGCTCCAAGACCTTTATGTTCCTTCTTTCAGGTTGTGGGCAGAATCCTGTTCGACAAGCCAGTGTAGGTGCCGGAATTCCTTACTCTGTTCCAGCATGGAGTTGCCAAATGATCTGTGGATCAGGCCTTAAAGCCGTGTGCCTTGCAGCCCAGTCAGTAAGGATAGGTGACTCAAGTATTGTGGTTGCAGGAGGCATGGAAAGTATGAGCAAGGTAAGCTCTGAAGAGATCCCTCTCACTGACCTCTCCCTGAACAATTCTGTTCAGTGCCTCAGCAATTCATTTTTCCCGGACAAAGCTAACAGCGCAAGGTTGTGGAAATACCCCTAAAATACCTAACTACAATAAATACAGTAGATTAAAAATCAAAGCACAATATAGTAAATACAATTTATTAATTTTGTATAGGTACTTTACCTTCACGTGGAGGCTTCCTGGCATAGGGGAAGCTGGAGAGAAATTGGAAGAGGAGAAATGTTAATTTTCGGAAGGAATTGCCTTCCATAATGACTGCTGGCAGTATACTTTCTGAGTTCTTTTTTCTTGGTCTTTTTTCACTTTTTCTCACCAAAACTTCATCTGGGCAAGAGTGGCGCTTTGAAGCATCACCCCTTTGTGTCCACAGCGAGACACCGCATGACTCACTTTCAGCTACACAGGATTTTACAAGTTTGGTTTGACTGTTGAGCAAAGTTACGAACACCAAGTGTATTTTTTCTTTCTTTTTCTTTTTTTTTTTTTTTTTTGTACCAGGGATTGAACTCGGGTCCTTGCTCTTGCCAGGCAGGCAGCAGAACCACTGAGCTAAATCCCTGGCCCCAAAGCGTATATTTTCAAACGTTGCTATTCAAATAGTAGAAAGTTCAAGCTTGGAGCCATTTGACAAATGGGATATCACCTTAAGACATAGTAGAATGGATGAGGTTGGAGGAGACATAGAAATAGGCAGGAAGGAAAGTGATGGATTCCTCAGAGTAGGCAGGCTGGGGTCATCCGCTAATCTTAGGGGCATTCTGATCCTAATGGGGAAGGGCTGCAAAGGGAACTAAAGGAAGGAAATACTAGATATCTCTGAGTGGGATCTTTAAGGAAAGACTATGACCCCTAAGCTTAAATCCATTTTTATTCCTTATTTCCAGGCTCCTCACTTGGTTCACTTGAGAACAGGAGTAAAGATTGGTGAGATGTCACTACGTGATAGTATACTCTGTGATGGTCTTACAGACGCTTTTCACAACTACCATATGGGTGTGACCGGTAAGGCAGACATAGCTGAAAATATAACTTTGAAAAAGTTGAGGAAGACCATGTAATATCAGGGTCTCACTGTTGCATGCCGTTTAATCTCTCATTTGGTCAGGAGACTGAGGCTGGGAATGGCTCTTGCTGTTCAGATGCTTCATGGAGGTTGCCCATGTGGCCTATATCTCTTCAGGTCTCCTATCAGAAAGTCACCCCAGGGCTGGGGATTTAACTCAGTGGAGCTGCACCTGCCTTATAAGGGCAAAGTCCTGAGCTGAGTTCAATCTCTGGCGGAAAAAAAAAAAAGTCATCCCAGATGACAAGAGATGTTATTGTCAGAGTAGGGCTGTGGTGAGGCTGGGCGTGGTGTCGCATGTCTGTAATCCCAGCACTTGGGAGGCAGAGGCAGGAGGATCACTGTGAGTTCGGGACCAGCCTGGGATACATAGTGAGTTCCAGGTCAGTCTCAACTATGTAGTGAGACCCTGTCTTGAAAAGACAAACAAAAAGAACAGGGCTGTGGTGGATGGACCTTGTACTCAGGTGAGGAGCCAGCCCATGCCTGTCTACAACATGCAGCTCACTGACTATCCTCATGGCCCTCACCGTGCTCACTTTAAGTCTGTCCCACAATCTGGGCAGAAGTCAGATATCAGTACAAAGTAATCAATCACAAGACAGGCCAAGAAGATAAACCCAGAGAAAGGACAGCCAAGATGGCAGATTTTAACCATTTAAAAGTTAATCCAGGCACTCTCTCATAATCTCAGCCACTTGGGAGGCTGAGACAGGAAGATCAAAAGTTTGAAGCCAGGCTGGGCAACTAAGCAAGATCCTGCTAAAAAATAAGAAAACAAAAAGTGCTGGAGATGTAGTTGAGTCGGGGGAGCACCTTTCTACCATGCTTGAGACCTGTGGAAGTTCCATTCCCGGTACCAAAAGAAGAATGAAGTTAATAGTTTTCAAAAGACAGGGCCGAGGATTTAGCTCAGTGGTTCCACCGCCTGCTTCTCAAGTGCAAGGACCTGAGTTCAATCCCCAGTAGCCCCCCACAAAAAGAAGACAGCTCTCCTTAGTGTCTTCCCAAACTATGTTGCCAAGGATGCAGTGGTAGCTACTGCAGCTACTGCTAAAGTTAAAATTCCACCTGAAAAGATGACCATAGCCACCACCTGCCTCACAAGGACAAGGTCCCAAGTTCGATCCCTGATACCCAAAAAAGAAAAAGGAAAGAAAAGATGACCACTGCAGGAAATAAAGCACCACAAGATCTCTGCCTAGAAAGCCTCAGGCCAGTAGGCAGTATCTCCTCTGAAAGCTCAGAAGAGTCAGAACTCCAATCATAAAGTACCTGTTCCAAAAGTATCTGGCAAGAAAACACAAGAGGCTGTTCTCAAAGTAAAAATGAACTAATGTGCTTTTTGGGTGTGTTTCTCCTTGTAAGCAGAGACCAGGTGTCTTGTTATTTTCTTGCTGCTCCGTTAAAATACCCAACATCCACAAGTTAAAGGGGGAAAGCTTTATTTTGACTCAAAATTTTTAGAGGTTTTAATCTCTAGTGAGCTGGTTTCAAGGCCAGCATGGTTTCAAGGCAGGGTAGCATGGCAGAGGAGGAACAGTCCACGGCATGGCAGGCAGGAAGCAGCGAGCCATCAGGGCTATACATATACCCTTGCAGGCCATGCCCGTAGTGACCCTCCTCTTCCCACCAGGCTTCACCTTCAACATCACACCCAGCTGTAAACCCATCAGTGGACTAATCCTGTATCATAGATCCATGATCCAGTCACCTCCCAAGAACCCCACCTATGAGCACATGAGGCTCTAGGGGACGTATACATATAAGCCATAACACCAGGTCCTAGTCAGTTTTGTACCCCTGTGGACATTCATAGTTTCCCTGATGAACTAAAGCAAAGTGAGTAAATAATTCTCTTCCTTCCTTCCTTTCTTTCTTTCTTTATTACTTTCTTTCTTTCTTTCTTTCTCTCTCTTTCTTTTTTGAGACTGGGTCTTGCTATGTAGTTTAGACTGGCTTGAATTCACTATGTAACCCAGGCTCGTTCCAAACTCACTGTGATCCTCCTGCCTTAGCCTCCTGAGTGCTAGGATTATAGGCATACAAACCAAGAATAGAAATATTCTTCCTACTTTGTGAATCACTGACATTGGGGAATGTGAAAAGTGGCAGGTACTTCGGTACTTTTGGATCAAACCCTTTATTTTACCAAATGAGGAAACAGTGATCCTGTGGCAGAAGCAATATCAGGTAAACCAGGACTTGAGGTTTTGCACAATTACATCACTATTCATTCATCTAAAAAACTTCTTTGTTCTTTTACTGACAAACTGAGAAAAGAGAAGAACTAATGCAAGACTGACAGCAGGAAAGCTCGACTATCACTGGCTCTTTACCTGGGGTGCTTTGCAAACTGTGAAGTGACAGAACCCAGCACAGAATGGAGGCAGAGATTTTGGAGCTGTTTAGCTGCTGGATTTTAGTGGGCAGGATACAGGACAAATGGGAACTATAAAGAAAAGGAGTTCTAGAAATCTGTAAAAGGAGTTCTTTTCAAGATACTGAGCTATGGCTGTGCAAGGAAATACTGAAGGAGGCCTAGTAGAAAACAGCTGCTAGGAAGCTGTGAACTAAGTGGATATTTTCTGGATTGCTGGGAAATTCAGGAGTTCTGCACAGCTGTGATAAGGAGACAGTGTAATGCCAACAGTTATGTCTAACAGTTGCAGCAGGGTTTTTCTTTTTTCTTTCTCTTTTTTTAGTGGTAGTAAAGTTTTATTAAAGGTAGGAAAAGAAACAGGCTCTGCAGTGCAAGTTTGGGCCAAGTAAAACTAGGAAAAACTACACTCTACAGCAGAGGTGGCAAACCTGTGGCGTCCATGTTATTGTGTTTTTCTTTTAAGACAAAAGATGTAGTGTGGGTGGACCCTGTGGCTGGAGGTATAAGGATCTGAGGCAGGAGGCAGAGTTGACTCTTGTGATCAAAAGGTTTGTGAGACTCACCAGCGAAACCCCATGAGGGCCCTGTAGATGCTGGGCCTGTGTTGTGTCTTGCTGAACCTTGAGTCAGAGCTGATGGAGAAGTTGATGTGGATGGTACAGTAAAAGAGGACCTGAGGAAAAGCAGAAAAGGCTCAAGGATAGATAATGAAGTAGTGCAAAGAGAGGCAGAAGCCATATAATTTGATGGATTAAATGCATTGCAAATACAAGAACTTAGAGAAAAATCTGAAAAGTTTGCTTTCCAAGCTGAAGTTAGCAGGATGATAAAATTTATCATCAATGCATTGTATAAAAATAAAAGGATTTTCCTGAGAGCTGATTTCAAATGCTTCTGATGCTTTAGGTAAAATAGGCTAATACTACTAACTGATAAAAACACACTTCCTGGAAATGAGGAACTGATGGTCAGAATTAAGTGTAACAAGGAGAAAAACCCGCTGCACATCACAGACACCAATGTAGTTTACCACAGAAGAGTAGGTTAAAAACCTCAGTACCATAGCCAAATCTGGGACAAGTAAATTTTTAAATAAAATAACCAAAGCACAAGAAGATGGCTAGTCAACTTCTGAACTGATCGGCCAGTTTGGCATTGGCTTCCATTCTGCCTTCCTTGTAGTGAAGAATATTATTGTCACATCAAAACCCAGCACATCTGGAAATCGGACACCAGTGAATTTTCAGTAATTGCTGACCCAAGAGGAAATACACTGGGACAGAGCACAGCAATTACCCTGGTCTTGAAAGAAGCAGCATCTGACTGTGTTGATTGGCCATATTATTAAAAATTTTATCTAAAAGTATTCACTTTTCATAAACTTTAGTATTTGTGTGTGGAGCAGCAGGACTAAAACTGTTGAGGAGCCCCACAAGAAAAGGAAGCAGCAAAAGAAGAAAAAGAAGACTGATGACGAAGAGGCAAAAAACTAAAGAAAGTCGAAAAGACTATGTGCAGTTAGGAACTTATAAATGATATCAAACTGAAATGGCAGAGACCATCAAAAGAAGTAAAAGATGAATACAAAGCTTTCTACAAGTCAACGACCCCATGGCTTATGTCCACGTTACTGCCAAAGGAGGAGTGACCTTTAAGTCCATACTGTTTGTCTCCACATCTGCTCTGCGTGGTCTGTTTGATGAGTATGGATCTAAGACGAGCGATTCCATTAAGCTGTATGTGTACTGAGTGTTCATCATGGATGACTTCCATGATATAATGCCCAAGTACCTGAACTTTGTCACAGGTGCTGTGGACTCAGATGATCTCCTGCTCGATGTGTCCCGTGAGACTCTTCAGCAGTACAAGCTGCCCAAAGTGATTAAGAAGAAACTTGTCTGTAAACTCTGGACATGATCAAGAAGATTGCTGAAGAGAAATGCAACAACACTTTTTAGAAAGAATTTGGTACCAACATCAAGCTTGGTGCAATTGAAGATCACTCGAATTGCAGCCATCTTGGTATACTTCTTTGGTTCCAGTCTTCTCATCAACCAACTGACATAAGTAGTCTAGACCAGTATGTGGAAAGAATGAAGGCAAAGCAGATCTACTTCATTGTCAAATCCAGCAGAAAAGAGGCCACATCTCCATTTGTTGAGCAGCTTCTGAAGAAAATCTGCGAGCCTATTTACCTCACAGAACCCATGGATGGATAGTGTATCTGGGGCCTTCCTGAGTTTGATGGGAAGAGGCTTCAGAATGTGGCCCAAGAAGGAACAAAGTTTGATGAAATGGAGAAAACCAAGAGAGTTGGGAAGCAACCAAGAAGGAATTTGAGCCTTTGCTCAACTGGGTGAAAGATAAAACCCTTAAGGACAAGACTGAAAAGGCCATGGTGTTGTAGCACCTGACAGAGTCTCTGTGTGCCCTTGTGGCTAGCTAGTATGGCTGGTCTGGCAGCATGGAGAGGATCATGAAGGCACAGTGTACCAGACAGGCAAGGACATCTCTACAAACTACTACACCAGCCAGAAGAAAACATTCGAAATTAACCCCAGGTACCCCCGATCAGAGACACGCTTCAGCAAGTTAAGGAAGACAGACTTGACAAAAACATTGTAGACTTTGCTGTGGTTCTGTTTGAAATGGCAACTCTTTGGTCATGTTATCTAGTACTGGACACTAACGCCTATGGAGACAGAATAGAAAGACTGCTTCACCTCAGTCTAAACATTGACCTGGAAGCAAAGGTTGAAGAAAGAACCAGAGGAAGAGCCAGAAGACACAGCAGAAGACATGAAGCAAGATAAAGAGGATAGAAGTGGATGCAGGCACAGATGATGAAGAACAGGAGCTAGTAGAAATACAAAGCTGAAAAAGATGAATTATAAATTACATTCAGATACTGGCTCCTGCGTGGAGAGGGACTGTGAAATTAAGTCATTTCTTTTGAAGGAGATTTATTTTGGATGCTCCATCCCCTTCTCTCCCCCCTGCACTGTAAAATGTTGAGATTGTGTGTCACAGGAGGCAGGAGGAAGTGGGGGGGTTGTTGAATTTTAACATTCTTTATGCATGCAAATTTGTATTATTTAACTGAATATTTTTTAAAAAGACAAAGGATGTTAATGTAGAGTTGCTTTTTCTAAACTAAAACTTTAGTATTCAGGTTTAATTACCTTGAGTGGGTTTTGGGTTGCAGTTTGACACTGAGTCTCTAAAAGGTTTGCCATTACTGCCCTACAGTGTAAGTTTGGGCCATCATTCCACACAGTGAGAAATCTAACAAAACAGAGAGAAACAAAAAAAAAAAAATGCCCAAAAGTTTCCTGGCTGGCTATCCCAAATATGTTACTGTATTTTGGGGTGCTAGATTCTCCTTCTGGAGGTGGTTTCTAGGTTCTTTCCTTCTTGTGCCAAAAATTGGTCAAGATAAGCACAAATGGTAGCAATGTTTTATTTTTATTTATTTATTTAGTTTGTTTTTTTTGAGACAGGGTCTCACTATGTAGTTGAGACTGACCTAGAACTCACTACATAGCCCAGGTTGGTCTCCTGCCCCAGCCTCCCAAGTGCTGAGATTACAGGCATGTGCCACCACACCGAGCAATAGCAAAGTTTTACTAAAAGCACGAAAAGAAATAGGCTGTGCAGAATGAATTTGGACCAAGTAAAAGTAGGAAAAGAATACACCCTACAACATGAGGGTGGGCTATCATACAAGAGCAAACACAGAGGCTGCAGACTTAAAGTGACAGGTTGATTCTAAAATATATTTGAAAATGTAAAGGACTCAGAACAGCCAAAACAGTTTTGAAAAGGTAAAAGATAAAAGGACGTACCTTATCTAATTTTAACAGTATAAAGCTGAGCTAATCAATGCAAAGGATTAACAACCAAAACAGAGTCTAGAAACACACGTGCAGTGATTTCCAGCAAAGGCACCAGCATAATGAAATGGAGAAAGTAGAGCCTTTTCAGTAAATGGTGCTAGAACAACAGATTACTCACATAGAAAAAATTCTCAACCTCCTACCCCCTACCATACACAGAAATGAACTGAAGATAATAATGGATCTAAAAATAAAGGTTTGCCAGGTGTGGGGCCGTATGCCTGTAATCCCAGCACTTGAGAAGCTGAGACAGAAGGATCAGCTTGAGTTCAATGCCAATCTGAACTACATAGCAACACCCTGTTTCAAAAAAGAAAGAAAAACTTCTCATCAAAAGCACCACAAAAATAATTAATAAGTGAGCTGCAAATGAAGAAAATACTTATAATACAGTATACATATTTAATAGAGGACTTGTATATAAAATATATAAAGAATTTATACAATAATAATCTCAAGGTCATTTTTGTGGGGGCGGATCTGGGATTGAACTCAGGACCTTGCATTTGTGAGGCAGGTGACAGCACCATTGAGCTAAATCCCAAGCCCACTTATACAATAATAATAAAAAGATAAGCATCCCAACCGAAAAATGAGCTAAATTTTGGGCCGGGGATTTAGCTCAGTGGTTTGGTGGCCTGCCTTGCAAGTGCAAGGACCTGAGTTCAATCCCTGGTACCAAAAAATAAATAAATTTTTAAAAAATGAAAAATGAGCTAAAGATTTGGCCATGTTTCACGAAAAAGATGTATGAATAGCCATGAAAAGGTGCTCAACATCTCTTGTAAGGAAAATGTAAATTAAAGGAAGTGTGAGTGTGTGTGAGAGAGAGATGCTGGAATTCAGACTTAGGACCTCCTACATGCTGGGCAAGTGCTATTCCACTGAGCTGTGTTCCCAACCCAGCAAATGTAAATTAAAACCATGATAAGGTATCATCTTACATTTTCTAGAATGATTAAAATCAAAATGACTTAACACTAACAAATATTGGCAAGGATGTGGAGCAGCTCGAACCTTCGCGCAATGCAGCAGTGAATATGAAATGGTGCCACTGCTTTGGAAAAAGATTTGAGTTTTCTTACCCAAAAGAAATTTTTTTAAAAAGTCACAACAACTGTTCATGCATGCGTATGGCAACTCTTATTGTGGTGTATGTTGCCTATGTAGTTCACGCTGGCCTTGAATTCACGCCGGGCTGGTCTCAAACTTTGATGATCTGCCTCAGCCTCCCGAGAGCTGGGATTATAGCCATGTGCAGCTACATCTGTTGTAGCAATGTTATCCCTAGCAGTGCAAACCTAGAAACAACTCATATGTTCATCAAGAGGAGACTGTGTAATGAATAGTGGTATGTTCATACCAGGGAATACTGCTCAGAAAAACTGCCGCTATACACGAATGAATTCTAAAATCATGCTGGGCAGAACAAGCAGAATTGCATTTATAATCCCTGGTGAAATAAAATTATTTGCTTTTGACAAGGAAAATTAATAGATATGTGATAATTTTTAAAGTATGGAAATATTACATATGTGCGATGTATGATTGCAAGCAGTTTTCAAAAGCCATTAAGATACGTATATGTGTGACTTCTCTATTTTATTCTATTGTATATGTTTTATCATAAAGAAAATGGGGGAATTGGGATAGGAGGAGGAAGGAAAAAAGGGGAAAAAGATACCTGAAGGTAGCCACGGTAGCATACCGGTAGTCCAGGCTTAAACCCAAGTTTGAGGCCTGCATGGGCAACATGGCAAGATTTGGGGATTTGTTTGTTTAATTTTGAGACAAGGTCTCACCCAGTTACCCAGAATGGGCTCAAATTTTCAATCCTCCTGACTCAGCTCCCAGTGTGCTGAGGTTACAGGCATGTGCCACTATGCCCAATTGAGACTACATTTCTTTTTCCTTTTTTTTTGTACCGGGGATTGAACTCGGGTCCTTGCTCTTGCAAGGCAGGCCACCGAACTGCTGAGCTAAATCCCCAGCCCTGAGACTTCATTTCTTAAAAAAATATTGAGCTCTTAGGGTTGAGGATTTAGCTCAGTAGTGCTGCCTACACCTGCCTAGCAAGTGCAAGGTCCTAAGTTTGTGCTCCAGAATTTAAAAAAAAAAAGGTGACTACAAAAATATTGAGCTCTAGTTATATAGTTTGCTTTTTTCAGTGATGTGGGATGGCACAATCTGAAACCACTTTCTATGTATTCTGAGTTTTACAAATGACTATTTTAAGGATAATGGAAACCAGGCTTTAGTACCAGAGAAAAGGGGACGTGTGGCTTGTGTGAGATTGCATTCAGGGATATCAACATGAATTCAGGCTGTCACCACGTGTTTATAATTTGTATAGGTGTATATATGAGGGTTTTTGGGGGGAGTACCAGGGATCAAACTTGGGACCTTGAACTTATGAGGCAGGAGGTGGAACCACTGAGCTAAATTCCCAGCCCTATATATGAGTCTTACTGAACAGGTTTGGAGGTAGTGACAGCAGTCCTAACTTTATTTCTAAATACCTTTCTTTTTTCTTTTTTTTTGTGGGGGAGGGTGTCTCACTATGTAGTTGAGACTGACCTGGAACTCACTATATAGCCCGGGCTGGTCTCCAACTCACAGCGATCCTCCTGCCTCAGCCTCCCAAGTGCTGGGATTACAGGCGTGCACCACCATGCCTGGCCCAAAATACCTTTCTTGCTGGCTGTACAGCACATGGCTGTAATCCCACATGAGATTACATGAGACTGAGGCAGGAAGATCTCAGGTTTGAGGTTAGTCTGGGTAAACAGGTGAGACCCTGTCTCAAAATACAGGTGAAAAATAAAGGGCTTGGGAGCCAAGTGTGGTAGTGTTGCCTGTAATCCCAATACTCAGTAACTGAGGCAGGAGGATTCCAAGTTTGAGGTGAGCCTGGAATACGAAGTGAGACCCTGTCCCCAAAAATAAAAAGGGCTGGGGGTGTATCTCAGTTGGTAAAGCACTTGCCTCATATGCACAAGGCCCTAGAGTTTCATCTCTAGTACCATAAAAATAAAAGCCTTTTCACTAAAAGTAATTTCCTAGGAGGGATACAGGATCCCTCACAAAGCATTGCACAGTAAACCCTAGGGGAGGCTGGGAATACATGTGAGGATGGCTTGACCTTCCAAGAACCAGTTCATGAAGTTGTTTTTTTGTCTTTGTTTTTTTCCTAGCTGAAAATGTAGCCAAAAAGTGGCAAGTGAGTAGAGAAGCACAAGACAAGTTTGCTGTTTTGTCTCAGAATAGGACAGAGAGTGCACAGAAAGCTGGCCATTTTGACAAAGAGATTGTACCAGTTTTTGTGTCGTCTAGAAAAGGTAGGTGTATAAAGGGTGATTTTAATCAGCCTATTTATAGGTAGAAGTAACATCCAAAAGAATAATATATGGGAATGTTTATAATTTTATCTTACGTTTTTCAAGTTGCAAAGATATATCCTTGATACATCTGAATGAGGGGAAGAGGAGATGCTGTTTGGTACATGGTTAACATGGCAAACCATCAGCCTGACTGTCCACAGCTGCTGTGTATCATCACCAGGTGTCATGAGAAACCGGACTGTTGGCTCATGGCTAACTTATTCCCCATACGTGCTTTTAAACTAAACCTCTGTATAACTGAACATTTGTTCCTTCCTGTTGCTTCTGTGTACATCTCATGTTCATATTTCTAGAAGCTGGATCTTTTAGGGTCGCTTGTCCTTACGTAATACAGAATGCTGCAGCCAGCTTCCCTTATTGGTATCTGATGTGTCCCACCCATCTGAGGCTGGCATTAAGATTCCCTGATCCACTCCCTAGTAACCAAATACTGGGACCCAAACTTTTGTACCTTTTCAACATATGACCCCCTCCTGTAACTGCTTTCCTCAGAAACGGCAATGGATTCAGAAAACAAACTGTCTCATGAGGACAATTCTCATAAAATGATTTAACATACAGTAATTCTTATACTTTCCTACTAGAATAAACATGGGTAGATATTAATATTTTCGGTCTAATGTGAATCTTCATGATTCTGAGAAATTCACCATTCCCAGCACACTCACTGACATCTATACTAATCTCAGGTAACTGGTTTTATTCTTGCCAGGTCTCACAGAAGTTAAAATAGATGAGTTTCCTCGTCATGGGAGTAACCTTGAAGCTGTGTCCAAGCTAAAGCCTTACTTTATCACAGATGGGACAGGAACAGTCACTGCAGCTAATGCTTCAGGTTCGATTTCTGCTGGTCATGTGGGAGAAAATGCCATGGTTTGTAAAGTCTACCAAAATGTCTTTGTACACTAAAGTTCTTTGGATGTGTGGAGAGGAGTCACACTGTCTAGTTCAGGATAGCCTTGAACACATTATAGAGCTCAGGTTAACCTCGAACTCACAGCACGCCTCTTGCCTCACCCTCCCAAATGCTAAGATTGCAGGCTAGCAACACCATGCCTACCAGAATTTTATAATTTCTCAATATTTGATCACTGACTTAATCTATTCTGAATTGATCTGGTTTCTTGGCATCTCAGTTAAGACAAATGAAAAAGTAAATTAAGGTACTCAAGGTTAGCTACTTTTCTTACACCAGACACTTCTAATACATCCTTGTAAGACTTGAGTTTATTCCGTTTCCTTTCATATCTCTCCCTCCCTCACTACTGTCATTTTCCCACTTTCTGTGGTCATTTACACTACACTTAGCATTTGTAACTGTACTGCAGAGCCAGCTGAATCATGGCAAGCAACTTTGCCAAGATGTCAGAATAATTTAACTTGCGTCCAAAGAAAAGAAGGTAGCCAAAGATATGTAACTGAAGTTAATGAGTGTTGTACAAATCAAGTCACTCTCATTTCACAGGAATAAATGATGGTGCTGCAGCTGTGGTTCTTATGAAGAAGTCAGAAGCTGATAATCGTGGACTTACACCTTTAGCACAGATCATTTCCTGGTCACAAGCAGGTGTAGACCCTTCCCTTATGGGAACAGGACCAATTCCAGCCATAAAGCAAGCTGTGAGTACATGGGCTCTTATCCTTTGTTCTACTGATAGGAACCTTGAAAGCACAGTAACCTCAATTCTCTACTAAATTCTCTTAAAACCTCTCCTTAGACCGCCTTTCCAATCCAGGACTGTATGTTTTCAGTTACTTCTATCAGGTTTCTGGGGTTTTTTTTTAAATAAAATACGCTTCCCTCTTGGTATTTCTCTCTCATCTTTGTCCATCATGAAGAGCAATCAAGAACAGTTGGATCACGTTTTCACAGATGCAATTCTGCTATATCATCTGACCTGCACATAATCATTAAATGTTGAATGTTATTATTTCAGTCTTTACAACAGTTTAGAACTTCTCCTTTAAAGGACATTTTAGTGTACATCCTTAATCTTTTGGATGGAATTAATATCACTAAGAAAATGTTACCAGGCCTATAAAACAATTTATAGATAGAATCTAGAGAACAGTGTATAGCAGGAGGCAGTTCTTTAAAGGAATCCTTTTACATCACACAATACTTTCCTTTGGCCAAAAATAAATGGTTCAGCTGGGCACGTGTGGCACATGCCTGTAAACCCAGCACTTGGGAGGCTGAGGCAGGATTGTCGGCTAGTTCAAGGCCAGCCTGGGCTATATAGTGAGTTCAGGCCAGCCTGAACTACAAAGTAAGACCTTGTCTCAAAAAACAAAAAAAAAAAACAAAGAAAAAGAAAGCGTTTAACTTCAGCCTTCCCACCCAGAATTCTATGCTATTCTTTCTTTAGGTCGCAAAAGCAGGCTGGTCTCTCGAGGATGTTGATGTATTTGAAATCAATGAAGCCTTTGCATCTCTCTCTGTTGCAATAACTAAAGAACTTGGATTAAACCCAGACAAGGTAAACATTATGCAGTACTCATGCCAGTTAACTCACAATGTAAACTTAAATGTGAATAGTATCAAATTAGATACTTTCCAGGGTTGACCACTGGTTACATTAAAAGCTATGACTTAAGTCCTACTAGGATTCCATTCACTTTTTTAATGTTTGCCAACAACAAAAACAAAATAAATCAAAAAAACCTTGACATTAGTTTACTTCAGAAATGGGGCATTTTAGATTGGGGGGGGTGGGAGTGTGTTGAGACAGGGTCTTAGTATGTAATTTAGATTGGCTTTTAACTATGTAGTCTAGGCTGGTCTTGAACACACAGCATTCCTGCTTCAGGTTCCTCAGTGCTGGAACTATAGGCATAGGCCACATGCATAGTCTGGTAATTTAGATTTTTAAAATCATATTTAATCTACTTAGGTGTACTTTGCCTATTATTCCAGCTACTCAGGAGGTCGAGACCCCAGCAAAGGTAACTGTTAGGCCCTGCCTCAAAAATAAAATGTAGTGGTTCACTGGTAAGAGTGCTTCCCTAGCATGTACAAGATCCAGGACTGACCCCCAGTGCTATTAAAGAAAAAGAGAAGGCGGTCAGCAGTGAGTATCAAAAAGGTGTGAATTTAATTCTAAGCAGTTAAGAGAAAAATTCAGTTTGAAAGGGTAGTTTACTGGTGTAACATTAGGAAGGAAAAATAAAAATTTGAGTCTTTAAGCAATGCCCAGAAGAAATGATCTAAGAAAAATCTTGTCTTCCCTCTTAGGTCAACATTGAAGGAGGAGCTATAGCTTTGGGTCATCCTCTAGGAGCATCTGGCTGTCGGATTCTCGTGACACTGTTACACACACTGGAGAGAATGGGTGGAAGGCGGGGTGTTGCAGCCCTGTGCATTGGGGGTGGGATGGGAATAGCAATGTGTGTTCAGAGAGGGTGAACCACTTAACAGTAGTCTCAATCTAAACTTAAACCACATTTCTTTTTAACTAATAAAGTACAATATTGTAATGTGAACTTGGAGGACCAAAGTGAAGAAAGAAACCCATCTCCTGCTTCACAAAAACAAGCTGTCAGTGCTGTTCTTTAATGTGTAATAAATACTAGGCACAAAACATTGCATCTAAAATTGTTACAAATAAAAGGGAAATCACATCAGTCATCAAGGGCTCCAGAATGAACAGCATCTTCATAACCTCCATGTTTATCATCTTTACTTTCTGGGTGTAATTTAATCAGATCATCAATTCGAAGAATAGTAATCACTGCTTCTGTTGCAAATTTCAAGCTCTTTACTTTAACTATGGTTGGTTCAAACACTCCTGCTTGCTTCTTGTCTCTTGGCTTACCATTGATCAAATCAAGACCAATCCTGCAATTAAGGGGAAAAACTGCGTAAATGATCTCTTACAAGTTAATTAAGCAGCCCACTAATTCTCCTATTCCTAAGAAATGTTGAAGACTGCAGTAGTTAACTAAGATATGTTATGTACATGTACCAACTCCCCACAATGGATGTAACCATTATGTATTACAAAAGGTACTAATAAATAAAGACACAGCAGTTAATTGACAAGTGCAAGACTGAGAAGCATCGATTAGGCTGAGAGGGTATAGCAAAGAAAGCCTGATTTCATGCCCAGTATGGTGACATACACCTGTAATCCCAACACTCCGGGGGCTGAGGCAGTACAATAACCACAATTTCAAAAGCAACATAAGCTACATAGTTCAAGGCTGACCTGAACTATATTGAGATCCTGTCTCAAAAAAAAAAAAACAGGCCAGGTGTGGTGGCACATGCTTGTAATCCCAGCACTCAGTAGGCTGAGGCAGAAGGATCGCTGTGAGTTTGAGACCAGCCTGGGCTATATAATGAGTTTCAGATCAGTCTCAACCTATATAGTGAGACCCTGTCTCAAAAAACCACAAACAACCCTGATTTCCAAGGATCACTTAATATATAGTCAGGTGCTATGGCCAAGTGACATTACAGCTGTCTTGGTTTATTTAAATACACGGTATGATGTTCTCACAACAAATCACCTAACAAGATACTCCTTAGAATGCATCCCTGTTGAAGCCATGCATGACTCTAAGGGGGTGCCTGAAAATAGATATGGTTCACCCTTTTAAAATCTTAAGACTTTCCTGCAAGTAAATGACTCTAACCAGGGAAGCAGGGTAGGAATCAGTTAAGCAGTCATCATCCTTTGGAGAAGCTGTGACTAAGCACTAACAACCCATTGTAATGTTTAAGTCTTTTGACAGGTCTGCGATTGACATTTGCTGACCTAATTGACCACCATCATTTTAAATGCCATTTTCCATAGGTACAGAAAGGGATTTTTTAAAAAAGGTATGTTTCATTGTGACATGATAAGCATTTGACAATGAAAAAAAAGACAAGAATACTGTATGCTTACCATTTTAGATTTTTACGTTCTGGGTTAACTTGAGCCTCATTATGAAAAGCCCTTAACTTTGCAACCAGATCTGTGGAGTCTTCAGCAGCGTTCACTGCCAGTGTGTTAGGAATGACAAGAAGAGATCTTGCAAACTCTGCAATAGCAAGCTGCTCCCGAGATCCCTAAGAAGAAAGAAAGTCTGGTGACTCTTCACAAAAGGAAAGGAAAGTAACGAAAACTTACAGCAGCAGCTAAGGTCTCAGACAAATAAAGCTAAGGTCTCAGACTGATAAAATGCAAGAGTAGCTCCCAGGCCCTTGAAAATAAAAAATTCTTACCATGCTGGTGGTGTAGTTTTCAAGGTATATGGAAAGGGCTGCTTCTACGGCACCCCCACCGGGAACCACAGATTTGGACTCCAAAACTCTCTTCACCACGCAAAGTGCATCATGTAAAGAGCGCTCCATCTCATCACACATGAAATCATTAGCCCCACATAAGATAATTGATGCAGATGTTCGGGCCTTTGTACTACGAGGAGTAAAAAAGGGAGATTCTTATACACAGACATTCACAGCAAGGGCCCTTCGTTACATTCTGCTTACAGAGGACACTGACATACTCTACCCAACGGTGTCCAGGCCACGCAGAAGAGAAGACACAGTTACTTCATCTCAGCTGGCAATGGCCCAATAATACTGTATCCCATGCGTATAACTGCTCATATCACCGAGAGATGATAGCAACAAATAAATGGGAAGAAAGTTTATTTGTCCTTGAAAACAAAGTCTGCAGTGCTTTAGGATTCACCAAGTGGCTCTTACTTTCTGATTAAGATTAGTTCATCATCACAGATTCTCTTCTGTACCACCTCTTCTGCTTGTCCCAACACTGTAGCTTCAAAAGTTTCTTCACCTTCCAAATTGGCCAAGGTAGACAGGACAGTTGCTATTAAGAGAGTTACTTCATCACTAAGTTGTCTCATAATGATTTTTTTGTTTTACTTTTTATTTTGGTACCAGGGATTGAACTCAGGGCCTTGTATTTACGAGGCAGGTGAGATGTCACTGAGCTAAATTCCCAGCCCTTATTTTGTTTTTTGGTTTTTGAGATGGTCTCACTATGTAGTTGAGACTGAACTGGAACTCACTATGTAGAGCAGGCTGGTGTCAAACTCACAGTGATCCTCCTGCCTCAGCCTCCTGAGTGCTGGGATTACAGGCATGAGCCACCACACCCAGCTCTCTTATTTTGTTTTTTGAGAGAGTCTAGCTATGCCATCCAGGCTGTTGAACTCACTATGTAGCCTAGTTTGTACTCAACCTTCATCAGTTCTCCTGCCCCTGCTTCCCAAGTGCTAGAATCACAGGTATGCACTACCATACCCTCTTCTCATAATGATTTTACCATGCCTTATACTGAAACATTAAAACAAAATTTTTTTCTTTTTTGTTTTTTGCTTTGCGACACAGAATTCACTATGTAGTTCAAGTTACCTTTGAACTTGTGTTGATCCTCTTGCCCCTGCCTCCCAAATGCTGGGATTACAATCAGGAGGCACCACACCCAGCAAGAAACATTTATTTATACCACAAGTGATACACTACAAATCTAAGGTTTATGGCTCACAGAAGCAACTGCCATTTTCTCCTAAAACCATCATACATATTATTATATTATTTTTGGTAATGGAATCAAACTCAGGGCCTCACAATTCCAGGCAGGTGCTGTGCCGCTTCACTATATCCTTGGCCCATACCATCATGCATATTAACAGAAAGCATTTTAGCCGGGGATCTAGCTCAGCGTTTGGTGGCCTGCCTTGCAAGTGCAAGGACCCGAGTTCAATCCCCAGTACCAAAAAAAAAAGAAAGAAAGAAAGAAAGCATTTTACCCAAGACATACCTCCAGAAGCTTTAGCAATGCGCTTAAGGTCCCTTTTTAAGACTCTTCTAACTGCCATCCCACCCGACTCCACGAAATACTTCAGACACATGTCATCAATTCCACCAGTGGTTAGAATAACATTGGCACCAGTTGCCAGGATCTTCTGAATTCTCTCCTTTGTGATATCTGATTCTCTACAGAAAAAGCATGTTAATTTCCAAGAGTTACCTTTTCTGTAGTTTTAATTTCCTTTCAGCATTGCCCACAAAAATAAATGGGTAAATTCTATCAACCATCCCACCCCAACTTACAAACCTAATTTAAAATAGTCTGATTTATGAAAAAATTGAAGCAATGGAAAAAACCCCACTTTGCTCTCCAAACTTCAATTTGAGTTTCTTAGCAACAAGTGTTCTGAAAAAATTTCAGCCCTAGCCTCCTGGTGCCTACCACTGACTAAAAAGAAAGAAGACAGACTGAACCTGCCCTGTATACACCTCACCCCAAGTCCTGTGCCTGATCTGTATGTGAATGGGGGAGATGTAGAAAAAATACAAAAAAACACACCTTGTTGACAGGACCTAGTGACCTTCCCTAGTGTGGGGAGGATTTACCTATCACACCTCTAAGACCAGCATTACTAGACTGGTATGCAGACAGGACAAGCAAAAGAGGCATAAATCAGCCCAATAGGCAGGACAAGAAGTCAAGGAATCAGGGTTTTAGCTCAGTGGCATCACGCCTGCCTCAAAAGCACAAGGAACCAAAAGAAAGTTAAGAAAGGAATCCAAACTGCGGTAGAACCACTGAGCTAAATCCCCGGTAGATGTATTTAATTTAGAGGCAGAAATCAATTGGTCTTAGAGAGAGATTGGAAGAGAGGGGGCTATTAAGTGAAAACAGAAGAGTTAAGATTATTCTCTAGTTTTTGTGCCTGTGTGGAAGGGTCCCCATCACTAAAACAGCCATGAGTAGCCTTGGGGTATCATCAGGAGTTAGTTTCAGAACACTGATTTTGAGATGCTTAAGAAACATTCAATTAGATAGATGATACATGTGTTTGAGTTTTGAGGAAGAGATTTGGGAGTCTCAAGAATAAATATCTAAAGCTGTGGAGACAAAGGAGTTATTCCAGGGACAGTATAGACAAGATAGTATGACAGAGCCTTTCTTCCCTGCATTTCAAGACAAAAACAGCCAAAGCCTTGCTAAAAATGAAGTATAAAAGGCTAATATGTCTAGGGACTCTCATACTCACATCACTCATGCCACTGGCGCATGGTCCTCCACTGAAGAACAGAAGAGTTGAAGAGCAGATGACAAGTGAAGCACCAGCAGTTTTGTGTAAGTCACTCTAGGGGACCACGATAGAAATGTACAAGGACAGGCCACACATGGTAGCACATACCTATAATTCCAATACTCGGGAGGCAGAAGTAGGAGGATCACCATGAGTTTGAGCCTAGCCTGGGCTACATAGTGACTTCAAGGCCAGCCTGAACTATATGGTAAGATCTTGTCTCATAAGAAATGTACAAAGGGACAGGGATTTAGCTTAGTGGTTCTGCCACCTGCCTCACAAGTGCAAGGACCTGAGTTAGATCCCTGGTACAAAAAAA